AAACAGGTGATTCTTTAAAAACATTGATCAGTTTTGAAGAAAATAAAGACGTACTGAATAACAAAAAACCTGCACCATTTTAAGCCCAACAGCTCTTTAGGGGTAAAAATAAAAGCTTGCTTTTAAACGAAAGTGCAGATCGATGCCTAATTATAAGCAGCTTGTTCTGCAGACACATGGGCTCCATATGATCATTTAGTCCGACTTCTGCATCGAGTTTCACACACGTAACATTTACTGATGGAACCGCTGCTCACACGAGTCAGTGCTGGGACTTGGTGAGGCACCTCATAGCAAGAACGGTTTAGGAATTTGCAACTAAAATTGAAATTACATCTTTTTGGAGGTGCCTCTAATTTATAAAACACATCTGTTGTAATTTATCAACCGACGTGAATGCTGGAGAAGGGCGATAAATCCATCTGATTAACGTGCCTTCAGCTGAATTCATCACACTAAATAGTTTCAGATGTCTACGACATCTGATTCTGAACTGGAAAATAAAAAAGTGTTTCTTTAGGACACGAATAACAGCAACAAAATGATCTGACTGTGCCTAGTGGACAACTTTCCCTTCACGTTTTACCTGTAACACTCAGAATCTTAACAGCTGTAGTGAAACACGACAAGCAGCTGTCATGACTCTTGTGAAATGGACGAGACTAATTCCAGGAGTTTTAAGCATGTGACTCCTAAAAAAAAGTCTGGATATTCTTAAATGTGTGTTAGTTCTGGTGTCTGAGTTTTCAGCTGAAGGACTGCCACGTTCATCCTTGGTATCTTCAGTGCCACCAATCCATTTTCGTTCGCTTATCCGGGGTCGGGTCGCGGGGAGAGCTGCCTAAGCAGAGAGGCCCAGACTTCCCTCCTCTAGGGGAATCCCAACGTGTCCTTCCTGTAGGTCTCCTTCCAGTTGGACGTCCCCAGAAATCCTCATCAAGGAGGTGTCCTAACCAAATGCCCAAGCCACCTCAACTGGCTTCTCTGTGGACCCAGCAGCAGATCTACTGTGAGCCCCACCCAGATGACCAAGCTTCTAACCCTATCTCTAAGGGACAGTCCAGACACCCTGTGGAGGAAACAAATTTCAGCCACTTGTATCCACAGTCTCATTCTTCCAGTCACTACCCAAAGCTCGTGACCACAGGTGAGGGATGGAACAAACATCGACCGCCTTCCACCTTTCAGCTCAGCTCTCTCTTCACCACGGCAAACCAGTACAACATTTGCATCGCTGCAGATACAGCATCAATCCGCCTATTGATCTCATGCTCCATCTTTCCTTCACTTGTGAACAAAACCCTGAGACACTAATGGGCCATTCCCATCTGTACCGGGTCGGGCCGGGTAGCGTAGGTTGTCTACATATCTGGGTGGCCTGGTATTTTTCCGGGTCAACCAAGGCTCATTCTCAGCCCTCTTCTCGAGGGGGTCTGCTTCAGGCCAACCAGGGCCAACACACCCACTGCTGACAACAAATTCACACCTTCCATTAGAGCAAGCCTCTGATTGGTGGGTAGAATCAGCCCACATGGGCTTAAGACAAGGATGTGTGGAATCAACCGGGCCAGGCTGGGGCCGACTGGGGCTACCCGGCCCGGGCCGACCCGGTACAGATGGGAATGGCCCATTAAACTCCTCTACTTGAGACAGGACCTTGTCCATGACCTGGAGAAGCCCTTCTATCCTTTTCCGATTCAAGACCATGGTTTTGGATTTAGAGGAGTTTCAATGCCATTCAATCAAAAGTAAATGGCCTGTGTTCGACATAGCGCCTTCTAGAGTCCTGGAACCCCCCAAGGCGCTTTACAACACAACCAGTCATTCACCCATTCACACACACATCCACACGCTGGTGGGGATGAGCTACATTGTAGCCACAGCTGCCCTGGGGCGCACTGACAGAGCCGAGGCTGCCGAGCACTGACGCCGCCAGTCCCTCCGATCTCCGGGGCTCAAACCTGCAACCTTTACGGGGCGAGCACTTAACTCCTGTGCCACAGTCAACCCATAAATTGAATGATCTGCAGAAATATGTTCTAAATAATCTATAATCTAAAAGGTCTAAATAATAACGAAAGGCAAAAAAAATTCTGTTTATCTTTAGTCCATCCATCATTACGATGTAGGTTACATCCTAAAATAATGTGTGGAACATCTTTTGTGCGTAAAAGAAGAGTGAAGATCAGATCCTGATAAGTTACTGAAGTAGAAAACAGCCTTTTTGGTCTGCGATGAGCTGAAGTCACACACATCAACACACAAAGATCAGGGGTGTGATGGCAGGAGGGGTAGATTACTATAAATAGACGTAACGCACATTCATGGCTAATTTTTACACATGCGGCGTGCACCTGTTCCCCTGCTGCTTCATCCCTAACTCACCCGAGTCAACTTTCACACAGAGGGTGAGTCAGGCGGCATCCCAGTCAATGAGCTGAAACGGAAACCTTCAGGATAAACACAAATCGTGTATTAATATCAGTTAGGGTTAGAAATAAATGAAAACAAAACAATAACAGATGAAACGGTTCAAGAATAAGACATAAAAACAAAATGGTACATTTTATTGTACAAAAAACACAAATGAATATTTTGCTACATATACTGAATACATTTTTATGTATTCATCTGTGAATGGCTCCATATGTTTGCAGAAATGACTTAAAAGTGACAATGTGTAGTTTTTAGTGTTAATTTCTGGAAATATCCATGAAAATGTTGTTGAAAATCAATGAAATGATGCCCAATTGTAGAAAAATCTTGGCAGCGGTGTAACATATAAATTAGGTCTAAAATACACGTGAGTGGGTCTAAGTCTCTGGGCGATGTTAGATGCCATGTTTTCTTCTACGGGAGCCCTTGAGGGCAAAACACATTTACTGATTTGTAAGAAACTGTTACAAAACTTTCACCCTTAATAAATGTTGTTGTTTTACACATTTACCTCTTCACTCTTTGGCATGGAGTCTCATGTGCTTGTCATTTTGCTGAAGTTTGCACTCCCCGCACCTTTTTGACCCTAATGGGCATTCGTTGGTGAGGTCTTATTCTAACACAAAAATACTGCGTGCTTGCAATACTTTAGTATTTACTGCCCCTATCGCCAGGAAAAATACACACTGTCACTTTAAAGTAACACAAAGCATTTTCCTTCTCCTCTGCCCTACAGTTTGAAATTGGAACTACAACTGTCATAAACAGCCCTGCTGCAGCCTGCTGTAGCTAGCGCTGACAACAAGCTAACTAACACGAACCAGTTAACGCTATAATGAACCACAAAATCAAAAGATTCACACAACTGGACAAAAATATAATTACTCACAAGTCCAGAAGCAACAAAGCCAGGTCACTATTGATCCATGGTTTTGTAGCCGGTTTTAACTCCCTCAAACTAGTGTAGGTCGTGCCGATGTTCACTCTGGTTTTAGCTCTTTGCTTCTCCTCCAAATACAGTACTCTTACTTTTACTTCCAGGCTTTCCATGATGCCAACAGGAAAAGCAAACTCAATTTTATTCTTCTTGTGATTTTAGTTGACGATCGGCAAATTGGAAATGCTAACTTGCTAACATTAAAGCTAACAGCTGTAGAGCAGCCCTTGGGACACCTACCTGACCCACAAAACTGTGTGGTTTTTGGTCAGCAGAGGACTGCAGAGTGGTGTCAAATATCAAACTGGTCTAGTTTCTAATTCAACGATCACTAGGATCAACGTTAAAGTGTTAGCTTAAATTTAAGGAAAACTATCTATTGTTACTTTAACGTTGTGGACTCCACATTTCTTCAGTGTGATTTTATATTAAAATCAAATTCTCCATCCTGCAGAGAGTTGAACTTATCTTCATCACTGCTCCATTCCTAAAACAATATTCTCAGAAATAGACAAGCACGCAAAATGACACCACAGTGATTATTTGTGGAAAAATAAGAGATAGACATGAAAATAACATCATGAGCAAACTGGTTGTTTATATTTTACAAATATTGATCACTTGATTTTCTTGATCCAAAGTTTCCAGAGCTCAGACCCCCCCCCCCCCCCCCCCCCCCCCCCACACACACACACACACACACACTGAAGGGATCGTCTTTGACTGTCTCACCTGCATGTTTGTCCCATTTGGTCCTTGAGGAACAACCGGATGTGTTGTTACCTCAGTGAAACCTGTCTGTGTCTATGAAGCTCACACAGGAAGGTCTGATATGACGCCACACTCTGTGACAAGCTGCTGACGGGGACAGAGGCGGGAGAGCGCATTTACCGTGGCAACCAGTTAAATGATACCACAGGAAGGCTGACTCCATGATTTAAAGTCACCTATATAGTTAGTTTTTTACACCTACAAATGAGAAAATCGTGTGATGACAGTTTGGGCTAAAATTAATGTTTCATTTGATCCACCTGTCTGTGCAAGACTGAGACTTTAATTGCTATTTGTTTGTGTTTTGTTAAGTTTGCATGTCAGTGTTGAGTTTATATGGATGCTAGTCAGGGGTGGACTGGGACCAAAATTCGGCCATGGCATTTTTGCGAATCATCGGCCCTCAGTCGGCCCTCCCCATTGGGAGAGCGGTGGGGATGGGGGGTGTTGCCGCCGGTGGACTCGTCTCTAGGCCGAATGTGAGATCTAATATGGACCGGGACTGTTATATTACAAGCAGGGCCAGACCGCTGCGACCGGGAGCCCTGGCCTTCCAGATCAGGTCATTCTCCACAGGTGGAGATCAGCAGGACATCCTACGCCACCGCTCTACTGCGTTTTCTTGCTAAAAACGCCTGGAAAAACTCTGTTAGCTTCGGGTTACCATGTAGCTAATGTTCTGCAGATCACCAAATGTGGAGTAGTATTGGCCCAAGCTGTGCAAGCAGCCCACTTGGCCAAGCGGCCCACCGAGACAGTGCCAGAATGCCAGATAGGCCAGTCCGCTCCTGATGCTAGTCATTTAGCCGTTGCAGATTTCTTTTTTTTTGTCAATTAGGACTTGTATTTTTACTTATGACTCACTGAGAGCCATCTCGGACCCATATGTGTTCTAATTAAATGACTATCTGATTGATTTAAGTTGTTTGTTAACTACAAAAATGCAGTCTGACAGAGACACAGAGCAGAATACCAAACGTGATGACCAGTCTGAACTTCAGGGTGTGGTCCTTTCTCAATGAGAACAGTGATCTTGTCCAGACGTGGTTTTTATTAAACCAGCATGTGTCCAAGAACTGTTCGTTTAGCCGAATGTGGCAGACGCTCCTCTGATAAAATGGTAGTTTCACATCTCAAGACGAGTCAAGTCTGCAGAGCCTCATGAGGCTGTACAGAAAAGTGGAAATGACAAAGTTTACATGAGGTCTCTTTGGAACAGTTGGACTGACCAAACTCTTCTGAGAGGGCCTTCGCTTTGTTTGAAGATGCTCTCATGATGTCAGAACATAAGAAGATGATTTGAGCAACGATTTCTTTATCACACGAACTGACGTGAAAATGCAAAACGGCGTGAAATGAAAATATTCATCCGAGTTGATTAGCTTCCTCCACACGGTGCCCAGGCTCTGCTCTGCATGAGGAGTGCAGTTATTGGGAGTGGAGTTGCTGCTCACCCCCTATCGGAGGATTCAGTTGGGGTGATTTGGCATCAGGTGATGATGCTTCCTGTTTGTTTTCTTCTGGAGGCACTGGAATAAAACTGTGGGAGAGACCCGGAACTCACTCCAGGAATTAAATAGTCTCTATGACCTGGACACACCTTGACGTCTCCCAGGACGTCTGGGATTTCCCTCAGAAAAATGAGTGAACTTTGTTCAACCTTGTTGATCAGCTTGTTTAGCGTCTGCCCACCTGTTAGCAGCAAGATGAGTGATCAGTCATCAGTGTCATATTTCCTTCGCATCTAGTTAACATTTGTAGATTCTCATCTAGATTTGTTTTGACGTGTTTATTTCATCAGCTGTAGTTTGTAACGTTTTATTTTTTTTCTCTGAGAAGACAGAAAATTCAACGTTAAACACAGTCCCGTAAGAATGAGCGGAGCAGAGAGGGGCCCGACAGCAGGGACGGGATCTGTGCTCTCCGTGTCTTTGTGTAGCGGTTGTTCATGACAAGCACTCTTTGTGCCTTCAGGAGATCACATGTCACAATATTTGAACAGCTGCAGACTGAAGTTGGCGCATTTGTACTCGTCCTTTCACGCCAAAAGCAGGAATCTGTCTGATAAAATCTACGGAAGAGTGAGGACAAGCAAAATGACAGCATGGATGAATGAATGAATGAATCTGTTGTGAGTAAAAGCAGTCTGATTTTTCTCATTTATGATTCATAAAATGGTTGTTGCATTAAATGCAGCACGGATTAGGACACATGGACTTGAAACAAATAACAGGAAATATGATGTTTTCCTCACAAACAATACTTGGAACCTTACCGGTTTGTTATCTAGAGACAGAGTTTTGTTTTCTGTTGTCAAATTCAGAGATAGAGAGTTGGAGATTGTATTTTGTATAAAACTGACACTCCACCAGAGAGCAGAAGACATTAAAATGACTCCTTACAGCTGATCTTTTAGGAAAGTACTAATCCCGTTAATGAGGCAGAGGCGTTAGAAACGGGTTTATCGAGTGTTTCATTTAGATTTGTAGGATAGGTGCTGTCAAGATTTTCCGTTATTTAGCATTTATATTGGAAAAAAAGGTCAAACAAAACCACGCCCTGCCCACATGAAGCTGCAGAAGTCAGAAACTGGACTGGTCTGGCTGCAGACCTCCCTAATAAAATGTAACAGTGACACCTTTGGCCTGAAATGCACTTTTCTTTTTGCAAAGCAACGCATACAACAGTATGGTCACATGATGTCTGCAGTTAAATAAATCACCTAAATGGAAAGAATTGTGTTTATTGATTCTGTATCTGAATCAGGCTTGTAAACCTACAACAGATTGACAGCTGAGAATCTGCCCCAGGTGGATAACTTCTGTCTAATTGGAGTGGGATCCATTTGCGGCTGCTGAACACCACTAATGGAGTCTGTTGGGAGATTCGTTGGCGGCATGCTGTCACTCCAGACTTGCTGCATTAACCTAAATGTACCCGTGTTCGGACAATCACTGACATCTGGTTTTACGACAACCTGAGTGTTGCACGGCATGATATTTAAGTGATTTCTAAATTCCTTTAAAAGGCCTGTGGAAATGAGCTGAGTGTGTTGTACACACCAACGCTCATTGATGGGGCACACATGAGCAAAGAAATGTGATGATGTGTCTTTGCAACGAGTCTGCTGCACATATGGATGAGTGGAGTCTTTAGTTTCAGTCTTCAGGCTGGATTTGAGCACAAACACATCGGAACGTGACCACTGTGGCTATTTTGCATCATGTTACAGGCTTGACAGAAACCATGACGTCAGCTGTTGTGGAATTACTGAGTCATCATCTGCTTGTTGCAGCTTCACAAAATGGGAACTAAAAATGTGCAGTTTAAATGGTTTTAAGAGGATCAGCTACCTGCAGATCTTTAGACCTTACAGATGTAACATTATGCATTTCATGGCAGTTCATAACTATGTCACGAAATGCCGTGAGACCGGGTTGTACTATATTACTCATTTAAACTGATAATACCGTAGTTTGGAGTAATTTTAGCAGTTTTCACTTCCAAATATTTTGAAATATGTGCAGGTTTTCAGAAACTGGTGACTAACAATATAAGACTTTGGCTGCCTCTGTAAGTTTAGTTCTGTCAATTAATAAAGTTTTGTCAATTTGTCAATTTGGGTGCAGAAATGAGCAAAACATCACATATATTTTTATAAAATGTGCTTTAAACGCAGGAATCAATTTGAGCTCCGTTTGTCAGCTCAACTTTAGACTGTCTGCATGGCTCTGAATAAGAATGTTTAATATTCTTGGATAAAACTCTTAGTCGATAACTTGGACTTAAGAGTTTAAGGGTCAAGTGTTTGGTGTCTCTGTATAAATTACAGTGAGAGAGAGAGAGAGAGTAAAAATTGTTCCAATTTAGGATAAAACTTCTGGGTCAAGTCTCATAACCAAAAGCTGAAAGAGTGAAACCATGAATGCTGCTTCCAAGCCTGAGCTTTTCTAGTTTACATATAAATCTATCTATCTATCTATCTGTCTATCTGTCTATCTGTCTATCTATCTATCTATCTATCTATCTATCTATCTATCTCTCTATCTCTCTATCTCTCTATCTCTGTCTATCTCTGTCTATCTCTATCTCTCTATCTCTCTATCTCTGTCTATCTCTGTCTATCTCTGTCTATCTATCTCTCTATCTCTGTCTATCTCTGTCTATCTATCTCTCTATCTCTGTCTATCTCTATCTGTCTGTCTGTCTGTCTTCATCCAAGTTTTAGGTGTGGAACACTGAAAAAACATTTTTTTTAGTTTAATTCCTGATTATAATCAGTCACTCTGAGTTTTTCATGCAGGCTGAACATGAAAATAGTCTCCTACACCTATCTCCTGCATTAGCTTCTGATAGAAAACAGACGGTGAAACTCTAGGATTAGAAATGGTTAATGGTAAATGGCCTGTATTTGATATAGCGCCTTCTAGAGTCCTGGACCCTCCTTTAAAAAGCAGCTGAAGTCTCACTTGTTCAGGCTGGTTTTTGTATGACCTACAATGTAGCCATAGCTGCCCTGGGGCGCACTGACAGAGGCGAGGCTGCCGAGCAGTGGCGCCACCGGTCCCTCCGACCACCACCAGCAGGCAACGTGGGTTAAGTGTCTTGCCCAAGGACACGATGACAGCGACAGACTAAGTGGGGCTCAAACCTGCAACCTTCCGATTACGGGGCGAGCTCTTAACTCCTGTGCCACCGTCGCCCACAATCCTGACAGATTTACTTCACACTGTTTCTTAATGTTCATGGACTCGCCCATCTTGACTTACGGCGGGGAAGGCTGTTGTTGGTTTAGCGTCAAGGAAACAGCAGAGAATGTTTCAGCTGGTAGACGCAAACCATTAGCATTAGTAACTCCACCACACGGCAGAACTCCTCCATGCTTGTGTTATTTGTGGAGATAAAACATCAGCGTTGCAAGTCAGTGGTAGAATCATGTTGCTGTTAGCCAAACCGAGACGAGATGTCAAAATATCAGGAAGTATGACTCCAAATCCTGCCGAAGCTCAGTTGGGATGTGGTTCATTTCTAGGGTGTTTCTCAATGCCAAGGAACCTCGCCTTGATGTCTTGGCCCGGTTGCCTAGGAGATACGTAATCAGGAACCACCAAGACGTGTTCCAATGTTCATGTTCTATCGAGGTGTGTGTTCTCCATTTGTTAGCCGTTTAGCTAGCTGAGCAAAGATAAACGGGAGGTGTCTTGTAGCCTAGCCTCGGTCCAAAATTACCCAGAATACACCGCAGTGTTTTCAAAAAGACGCTGGATCAGAAGCCGGCAACTACTTTGGGGACAAATTTCAAGTTTAAAAGTAAGTCACCTTATTTAAAGGTTTTTTTTAGATCCAAAGAAGCTTTCTATGGTTGGTTAGTTGCTTAGTTCTTGCAGTTTCGGTGGTTAGCGGGTAGTAACTCACTTATATTTTTAATTTAACAACTATATACACAATTTAAAAAGTAAAAGGCTCATTATATATTTTTATTGAAACTTATGCGTATAAAATATAACGTTATCTCCCATGTCACATGACGTTACGTGACCACCGTGGAAGCCGCGGTCACGTGATGCAAGTCTGTTCCATTTAAGTTTTCTTTGACCAAGGAAGGACGGTGTCCTCATAAGCAAGGCGCCTGACCTCGCAAGACATCCCCTCGCAAGGGCAAGCGCCTTGATATTGAGAAACAACCCTAGTTCCTGTAAATGGTGCACCAGTGTTTTTCTTCCCCAGAGTACGACTTGCCAAGCATTGGTTCCTACTAGAGACCACCAGAAATGTATTGATTCAACGAGTGTTCAACACCTTTAATATTTGTTTCATGTGAGATGAAAATTTATGTTCACTCAAAACTGATGAACAGTTATGCAAATTTGTGGGAACATTTTTCCGATCAGGGCTTAGCTACAGCAGTGTCCCTGGATCTGGATGAGAAAGAGAAAGGTAAAACTAGAGAGAAGAGACACCGGTCAGGACGGTGAACCAGTCTGGTTCATGCAGAAAAACGCATTGTGAGTCATGCTTTGACGTTCCTTTTGGACCAACTACATCACACCAGCTGTGGACAAGTGTCAAAACTAACACCGATAAAACGAGAGTGGTACGATGTGAGTGGAATAGAATGGGAGGAAGTTCTGGCAGGTCAAGACAAAAGAAGTAGCTTTATATTTGTAACATTTTTAGGGAATATGCTTTATGTAAATATCTGTTTACCATGAAAAATTCTCATAGCATATCCAGTATTGACCTTCTGCTGTGAACTTTGATCCTTTAACACCCAGACCCATGACATTAGCCGCCACATTTAGGCTCTGAGCATCAATAAGGGATCTAGCAGGGATAACACTCACAGTCGTGACCCTTTTAACCCTTTGGAAGGGCTTGATTTATAACCTACCATTTAAGCAGTTGATGGACACAGTAAATGTCCAGCATAGTGAGAATTGGCTTCAGCGTGGCCGCGCCCTGACCACTGCTGCCGTTCCAGTCCTCATACAGCCTTGAGGTCTCCTAAACACATACAGTTAAATATAGATCGTCTCAGACTGACCACAGCCACAGTCAGACCTCCTGAAAATTGGCTTTTTTTGTATTTTCTCCACCACTCTTGGTGTATTTTTACACAGAAACGTTTGTTCACAGACTCCATCCCTCAGCCGGACGCCACCGAGCACCACACACAAACACACACTCTCTCTCTTCGTCTCTCCTGCTATCCGTTATGCTCAGGAGCAGCTGACTGGGCTGATTTACGTGGTGTTTGCTCAGGGTTCTGGAGGAAATTAAATGTTCGAGTTGCAGCACTGGCTGGATTCACGTGGCCTAAAACACTGAAGAGAGTCGCAGGAGACATTTTTCTGTATTGTTTGTCTCAGATGAGAGGGTTCATGTTGCGTTCATATCTGGATGTTCAAGTCACCTTCTGTTTAATGCCTTGGTAATCGATGACACTTGTGTGTGAGATGAGTTCACTGGGAAGAGAAACGACAGGTTTATGAAAGCAGATCAGCCACTTTACTTCATCTACTTCAATAGTTACGTTTATACAATGATAGTGCAGCATTTCCCTCCTTCAGTAACATAGCACTGGTTTAACTGGCAGAGATTACATTCTGTGATAATGTCTTATTATTTATT